CACTTATCCTGCGATATGACGTATGCTAGAGTGGGATTAGTCGTACCTCTCTGATCGCTCGTCTCTGGGCTGCAGCTTTGTCCAGTCATCGGCCTCCAGTTCCCACTTACGCATGTCGGGATGGTCGCGACCTCCCTTCTCCGGCTCGACCCAGCGAGTGTTCTGGTATGATCCACCCTGGTCGTAGCCGCGGTTACCACCACTGTAGCCACGATTGCTCCCAAAGTTACTAAAGTTGCCACCTCTGCACCAATACATTGACTAACGTCAGCGCTATCGGACAGTGAGGAGAGAGCGAGTAAACTGCACCACTGATAAACAAACCTCTGCTATTCGATACCGAATATAAGGCAGTATAGCCAGGGCTCGAATTAAGCGACGGGAAGGGCAAGGCAATTTTTTTAGGGCATGTGAGAAATCGCCTTGAATTGTCTCTAAAATGGAAGGGCACAGAGGCAATTTTAAAAGGCACCAAGGCAACTCTCAAAATTTGAGAAGGGCACAAAGGCACTTTTGTAAAATAAAGGAAAACTCAACAAATTATTACATCAACATCGTCTTGCTTTTAATGTACAAAACAATATGCCCCCATGTAAGCTTACACCGTAACACCGACCCCTGTATACCCCCCTCTGCTAATGGAAGTACAGTAACAAGAAATTTTACATGCCCGCTATCAGGAGCGAATAATTATCCGATGCTGTTATTATTCCCTCCTGCGACTATCGGTTTTAAGCTCATCATTGCAACTACAGCACGCACGCGCACGTGTTATGTTGACTCGACTAAAAACGAAACTAGGGCAGTAGATTAAAGGGCACCAACGGTAATTACACAAAAGGGCAAGGCAGGTGACTGCCGTCGGTCGGGTTGGATTTTCAGGGGCAGTACGGCGATTGATAGGGGCACCGACGGCAATCCGTCGGTGCCGTCGGTTAATTTGAGCCCTGAGTATAGCTCATACCCATCATATGGTACCTATCACTTATAAGAACCCACACACAATCAAAAATGAAAGACTTTTAACGGGCATTATTTCATTCCGCATAGCGCCAACCAGAATTTGTAGACATCTATTAAGATTATTATATTACATATTTTTAAGCATAGATATTTTCTAGACAAAATAGTGATGTGATGGGAAACGACGACGCGCTATGAACTGAATACCGCTGGTTTCACCCGCGTCCCTGCCGCTCACCTATTGTCATATCTTCCTCCAGGCGGGGCCTGGGTCGGCCTATTCGTGAAGCCGCCACGATTCCCACTAGGGGGCGCTCCGCGGTTTGCAAAGTTGCCGTATCCACTTCTGGTCTGCATCGGCGGCGGCCCGCTGTACTGGCCGGCAGCCGGCATCGCGTAACCTCCTCCATATCCGCCGGGACCAGCAGGAGCTGCAAAGGCAAGGAGACAATACGACGGTGAGTGCGACGTGAACGCAAATGCCCCCCCTACCAGCGGAGTCTCCCGCCGCCGCCGCGACCAAACCTCTGGCCAAACAACGGGGCGGGGCGTTCGCTCACCCGCTTTGTCGCCAAGCGAATCAGTTCGTCGAGCGTTTGCTTGGCCGTGGAGAATCACCACACGCATATCGCACGAAGCCGTTCCCATACCGCTGCTCACAAAGCACAGCATGTCACGTGTGTACCACGCACATATGCACGTGCACAAACATACACATAAGCCGTGCTTACCTACGATTGCCTGAAATATTTCCCACTTTTGGAACTTTCTAGGAAACTTTAGTTTTACATCCCCATCGGGACTTCTCGACTGAATTCGCATCGCGGCGCAAAAGTTTCGGTTCAACTTGCGCGATACTTGTCATGTCTGCTAGTTTACCGCCAACTGCAAAAATGCATGACGCAGTCTCGCAGCCTGATCTACACATAACACACAGACCAGAAGCTACGGTTCTATTCAAGCTGAATTCAAGCTCTATTCTGCTTGCTTGCCCCCAATTCACCTATCAAAGCCAGTTGTACCCATACATGATAACATACGTTACAAGTTACAACACATCACATTCTTTCACACTTCGTTTTATAGCAAGTACCCAACTGTGAAAACCTGTTAGGGCGAACTCAGGTCGCCCTTACGACCTAGTCGCCGACAAAATTTGAAGATCGTACGTCAAAAACCAGCCAGATCGCCGATAAAAACATCGGCGACTAAACTCGACATGAGTTCTCTTACGATCAAAAATACGGTCGCCGACTGCGATCGCAGGAATAGAAACGGTTCTATTTCTATGCGGCGGTCGGCGACAAATCGTGAGTGGCAGCCAATCGCCGCTACATGTCGAGTCACGTGATTATCAAAAGTCACGTGATTAACAAAATGGCAGCCTACACAGCAGTTCACAAGGAAGGATTATTGCACAAACCCTTTCTCAAATATATATTAAGTTTTCCGTATATCACAGGCAATTTTTTTAATTCTTTTTCTGCTCATGATTATAACGATTTTCAGAAAATTTAGGATAGATTTACGAAGTTACCGGATGTTTACTGGTATTAAAGCACCATTTTGTTGGTCATGTGACCCGTTTTATGTAGACTCATCCTGGCGTCAAGCTTGCTCTGTTTGTGCTAAAGAACTGCTTGTGCTAGTACAAATACTGGGGCCGCGAACCCGTCTACGTTTCCTGCAGAATGCTACGATCTGATCGGCGATGTATAGCGTAAAGGCACTTCAAGTCGACGTAAGTGTTGCTACGCTGCTAATCGGCGATAAAGTAGTCGCCGATAGTCAAATCGTAGGGCGACCTGAGCAGGGCCTTAGTCTTGTGACACGTATAATGATAAACTCCAGACAGTCATAACTTCACAAGTTAGGTCCACGGTATGTATAGGAATGTAGAAAACAGTTAGTCTACACTATACAGCTCAGAGTTGCTAGTGTACATAAGCTCCGAAGAAAATCACAATCACTGAAATATTAGGATGACCACCAGGACACCATTCAATGAAACACACACACACATACACACACGTGTATAAAAGAACACCGAGTGGCGAGTGCATAACTTAACCCACAAGATTACATCACGAAATGGAACACAATCACTCTTATATAAATCGAGCAACGATATGTTAAACGCCATGACAGCATTTTACAGCATTTTACGCAGTGGTGACAGCTTGCATAATATTGCAGTGAGACTCTGACACACCTGTAGACGTGTCTTACACACCTGTAGACGTGTCTTACACAGCTGTAGATGTGTCTTACACACCTGTAGATGTGTCTTACACACCTGTAGATGTGTCTTACACACCTGT